CCCCCACCCCCTACACACATCGTATCACGAATATTCTTGATGATCGAACGAGTAAACACAAAGTAGCAAACAAGGTCGTTTGCGGTGATTTTTCTACAGGCTAATACATCACAATTTATATGAAACTGTTTGACAGGGGGAGGAGAGATCAAGACAAGTTGGAAATCAACATTCCAGTTCCTTGGCCGGATGTCGCTCACACTTTAGTTTTCACCCATACGCACTGGTTCGGATCATTAAGAGCGGGTGGGGGGAAGACTGTGTTGTGTATGGTGCTGGCCATGGAAGACCGAACTGCTTTTGGGAGCATAGGTGGATTCCGATCGCTTCTGCTATGGCCAAAATGCGATTCCCAATCCTCTTAGATCGGCGATTGCGAACCAAGTAGAGGGGTCGAAACGCCTCGGCCACTTTAATAATGTGGTTTGATTCCACTAGGTTTGAAACGATTGAGCTATTAATGGTCCTAATTACTCCACTGTTCAACCACGCCGGGTGATGCTCACGGACTGGTTCAGATAAACGTCTGCCTTGCCCCATAGGAACAGGTAAATAGGTATACACAGAAAGAGACGGCAAAAACAGGCAAGCACAGAAGTGGCCTGGAGATGAACATAATACGCAGTTTTGCCACGAGGAATGCTTTTTCTACAACTTTACTGAGCTTATGTGTTACCATATCGGCAGTCGTGTAGCCCTTGAAAGGTAGCGATATGTAAACCGGTTTCTTCTCCGCAGTAATGGTCTTATTTGGCAACCGGTAATGACCCAGAATATTGTCCACAAATCGCATGGGGTATCCGTTTTGAAGGAAAACATCTCGAATAAACCTCAATTCTACATCAATGGTATCGTCCGTACATATTCTCCGTGCCCTGGTAGCGAGGCAAACAGTTTGATCTAAATTGTGATGTATTAGCCTGTAGAAGAATCACCGCAAACGACCTTGTTCGCTACTTTGTGTTTTCTCACCATGGGTATGGATGGAATGATCGGACGAGTAACCAAACAAATATGTAATCGTCGTGAATCCAATTTCCGGTCTCATGACGAAATCGTTTCTAGTAATCTCTGATATGATGTGAATTTATGTTCCCAATACAGTTCTATTCTCGTATATTGATATGTATTGGCATGAATACGAATCTCCGAAAACGAACTCGTTCGCCACTCTGGTGCTTTGTTTGAGATAATTTATATAATATAAGAAATTATTGATCTTTCAGTTCCAATGTTAATAATTCCTGTTTGGATGCACACGTTTGTTCCCCATGGTTGAACAATCTATTGCATTTACTACTACTGACATAAGGTTAATTAAAAAAGGAAGAAAAACAGTGTGTTAAACATAAATATTATAGGTAATGCTTTAGCGATCAGTTACTGTTCGCAAATCAGAGATTCAGAGTGAAAACTGGACGACCGATTGAGTTATCACGATCTTTACGTTTTTACGCATTTCTACGTCGTTTAGGTGTTCCTAAGGAAGCTTATGAAGACATTTCGAACTAATTCACTGTCGACTAAAAAAAGTTTCTTTCTCCTCGACTTACCCATTTAACATAAAACCAACTATTTGCTTAATTGATGCATAGCAAATGTATTTTGTTACTGAACCGTTAGCATTTCATTCCCATCTATCTGGAATTGGTACTCAGTTTTTGGCCATCTTTTTTTGACGTCCTCTGGAAATTTATCCATCTTCGAACAACATCTTTTGTAAATTTGATTTAGGGCAACCCTCCCGGGTTCAACTCACCAAAGCAATGCGTTTCTCAAAATGTGCCGCGAGGGTTCCACTGCCACCTTGGTTTTCCATTTCCACTCCAGTCAGTGTATTACAGCCGAAATGTACCTTGGCAGCGGCCTATCGGAAGAAATCGAATGAACGAGTGAAATTGCGGCGCAGAGGAAACTCGGTTTCTAGCTATCTCGGGATCTATGCAATGGTCAATTGATTGTCCGAGGCAGCGGGAGGAGCACTGCCACAGTACCTCATACTTTTCATGCAATATATAGGCATATATCAGAAAAGTTCTTTGTTAATGATGATGAAAATAATAGTGACGTTATTAATACTGATACACGTTTTGCTTTCCTTTTATCGAGTGCACTTTTTCAACTCATTCTCAAGAAAGAGACAACAGTGGCCGTCTAGGCTGTGCCTCGACACATTAAAGAAAGTTCAGGCCTCCGGAGTGGGGTTTGAATTCAAGATCTTTAGGTTGAGATGATGGTAACTTGATCACCTTACCACTACATTACCAATGCTTTAAAGGAATGAATTGCTTTGTCAAAATAAATTTGGAATGAATGAACAATAGGAAAATAAAGCTGATTTATAACTCAAGTGATAACCCATCAACCACGCACCCCTTCTCACACCCCCATATATTTGCCATCCCTCTAGGTGTAGTAAAATAAATAGTTCCGTTTCAGTCCCAGTTTTCAAAACAATTGAAAATGCATTATCCTGCGTGTTTTGGTTGTTGGCTTTTGGGTGTCCATTTGAATGAAGGTTGGAATGTTCGGAGTAGATTCAAGGGGATGATAGAGAATGCATAAACACTGGAATTACAAGAATAATGTATAGATACTCAAGCACCACTGTTTGCGACACTCAGTCATATCACTGTATCTCTAACCACCGGTTCACTTCAGAATGAATGAACCCCATTGACAATGTGAACAAACTGCCAGAACTCGCTCGGTGTCGATCAGTGGGGCAAACGTTTTTTTAATTGTAATGAATTAATTGGATCCCGTCGAATGTACTTTTATCTCTCGTTGATTGTAAGCAACTTCAAAGAAGATTACATTACGGTCAGTTGTTTGTTTCTGGAAAAACCCACATACACACACAATCAATCGTCAACAGGGCGTCATTACGCGACATGGTATCACCGGGAATTCTTTAGGTTTCTTTTGGACATCTGAATCAGCATCACTGTTAACTGCATTGATTTCAGTAGATAAAAGTGATTAGAATTTTACCGTCATCATAATGACAAATGACATTATTACGCATATATCCTAAACTTTAATTTGTTGAATTCATTCGAGCATAATATACTTGGGTCCACCTTATGGTTAACCAGATAAAAATGTGTATTAAGTGCCACATTGTTGTTGTCTTAAACTAGAACAAAATAATGACCTCGTTCAAGCAAATTAAAACACCGCAGACCTTTTGTTGCACCAGTTTGAGAAATCAACTTATCCCCGGTCACCCACTATTGTTCAGTAAAGATACGGAAAGAGGCAGTGCATTGCATGAATTCATGCGACTTGATCTGTGGTTTTGCTTACCACCAACTTCGGGGTTTTCAGTAATGCTTTCTTGATTGGAAAACTTCCACGAGCGGATTTCCATGTGGCATTTTCCTCCGTTAGTGTATCCTTGCTGACAGTAGATTAGGGAGAAAAAACAATAAACGAAATTCATTTTCTACCAGCCGTATGTTGAAGTGCAGGTAAAATGACCTGGTCAGAAACGGGGTATGTACGAAGGAAAATTTTCATTTATTTAGTACACATTTGTCTAAGGTAAATCGTGTTTGAGGATGAACATGAAGAAATTCAATGGCATGTAGTACGGAATGTCACCCCTTAAAGAGAACAAAAGATGAGAATTTGATGTCTTCAACAGACCTCAACTATCTATCAACGGAACTTTCATCGTATAATCAAAGTTAATACCCAAGCAAGTAATTTGCAACTTACAAACATTTAGTTACAAACACTCACACAATGCTGGGAAACTAGAAAGAACTTCTCAATTTGATCCTTATAAAAGCAACATTATGCACTACTTAAACAGTGAATATAATTCCGCAGATTAAGGGGCACAAATAATTAGCCTCTTCCATTGTATCAGCGAAAGTTTTGACAGTGTTTTCGGAA